TGCTGGGGTGGTGGGTGTGGCAGTCAGCTCGGGTGTGCAGAGGCTTGTGATGTTCAACGAGTGCTCTTCTGCTGTTTCTGCTGTTGTCTTTCCTAATTTAAAATCATGATGAAGTCTCTTTTCACTGTGTTAATCAGAAAATAGGCAGTCACTTCCCAAATGATCCTTGAGCCAAGATCTGAAAAGTACAGAAAGGAACTCATGTGCTATGTGTGCGTCTGTGGGATGGAGGGTGGCAGGGGTGGAGTAAGGGAGAGGAAGTGGAGGTCAGGGAGGGGGAGGATGACCCTGCGCCTGGGGACTGAGAAGACGTTCCAACCAAGCATCAGGTCTGATGATCTCCGCCCGGGAGGGGATGCCATCCAGTTGTGTAGAACCTTCCATTTTGTGTGAGCTTCTTGGCTTCGTCCCTTCGGACAACTGTCTAAATTGCAGAACGAGAATCAAGTCAGTAGGGAGCCTGGGGGCCCCCCACTCCCCCTCGCTCCCATGGTGTGCATGTTTGCTGATCTGAGCCCTCTGCTCTCCTGTTTAGGACACCGAGGTTTTGAACACGGCCATTCTCACCGGAAAGCCTGTTTCGGTTCCCGTCAAAGTCGTGGGTGTTCAGGAGGACGGTTCTGTGGTTGACGTGTCTGAGTCTGTGGAATGCAAGTCTGCTGACGAAGACGTCATTAAGGTAAACTGTCATCTACGGCTGTCCTAAGTGTTCACAGGTTTTGTAGCCATCTCTCTTGTCTCCAAGGTCTTGTTCTGACTGAGCATCCCATGCTCTGAAGGGCTGGAGGCCAGAATGACCTCACGAAGGAGGAGACGGCTGACAGCAGAGATACCCTGGAATCAGCAGGTGGCTGCAGCAGGAGGTGCTGCTTTCCATTCCCTGGAAAGGGGTGTCCCTGACCCTTAATCTCCAGCAGAAAGAATTCCCTCCCTCCCTTCCACCTTCCTTCCTTCCCTGGCTCCCTATATGCATGAAATTCAATGGCTGTTAAAAAACATTCATCCATGTGACAACTCACCTAATATAAGGATTACCAGTGGGGCACAATCACAGTTGAGAAAATTGGGCCATGAAACATTTCTGCTGTTTATTTTTATTTTAAAAAACTTTTATTCCAATTAGCTGGATTTATGATCCTAAATTCATGTAGAGACCAGCGCTTTTTCATTTTATTTTTCTTTGCAGGTGTCTGAATAACCCAATTTAGTATTTCCTTCTATTTTTTTTCTAAAGGAGACCTCGTGGAGAAAGAATTTAAAATTTTAGAATCATCTTTTCTCCTTTAAGTTGCTAAGAGAACCCCCTTAGCAGGTTCAATCTATTCATTCATTTCGGATAAATTCAATAATGCTGAGCTAAGTCCTTCATGCCACTCCGCTGGCTCCTGTTTAGAGGTTCAGGGAAACTTGGTTTCGGTCTTCAGAACTTCTCGGTAGACAGAAAAGCCTGTAGGGTATTCTCCCGTGGTGGAACAGATCTGAGAGCAGATGATTCGCTCCTGTTTTAGCTCACAGCTTGGTGGGGGCTTCCAGTGAGGCTGTGCCTTGAGCCAGATCTGGTTTCCATAAAGAAGCAATGACGTTTCTGTGAAGTGTAATTTTTAAAATAATAATGACAATAACCCTTAGGAAACCCAGATTTTATACAATCTGTTTCCTGAAAGTTAATTCTCCCTGAGATAGAAGGGGAACTGTCTTAACAACTGTATGCAGCCCTGCCCTGGGGCTCTTGGTGGTTCTGGTAATCCTGGCAGGTTTAATTAAACAAACCAAAGACCTTAAATATTAGGAGTTTTAAAAAGTCTGAGCTAAGTCACAGGCAATCGTCTGCTCAGGAACAAAATAAAATTGATGACTCATTTGCCTTGCTTGCCTCTGACGATACTCATTATTTAGAGTTGCCATAGCATTGTCACTAAAGGGGCCAATAATTTTTAGAAAGACTGTATTTGCAGGCTGCTATGGACCAAACAAATGACTTGCCTCTGCAGGTCCCCTCCAGAGAGCCCGGTGTGGAGCCCCACAGGTAGAGACCTCAATCTCTTAACCTAGAGACTTCACTCTAAGAGAGGCGAATCCAAGCTCATGGAAAGTTGGATTCCACTGCGCACTGTACTTGATTGTCCCCACTCTATAGAAACATACTGAAAATACCCTCTCCCCCATGTGACAGATAAGTCGCTTTGGAAATGGTCACATGTGCTTCATGGTCACTGTTATAGCTGCGTGAACATGGGATTTCCTTGGCAGAAAACAGAAGCTTGATCTCCAGGAGAACATACTGAGTTTGCAAATCACCAAACTTGGAGGCTAATGATTTATCTGCCAGCATTGCAGAATTAACTCAATCACTGTCCCTTCTTTGAGCCCAAGTAAACTCCCTAACTGCAACTGTCCTCTAAAACCACAGAGGTCTTCATATACTGACTGCTGAACGAGAAGATCTTTGCCTATTCCTACGTGAAGAACGTTTTTACGTAAACCAGTCCAGCCTCATATATCATGCCATCAATAAATTAAAAGACAGGGCCCAAAAGCTCACCAATCAGGCCAATGGTTACTCTGGACCTGGCCGTACTGGCTGGACACTCTCTAACTGGGAGTCATGGCTTCCTTTAATCCTTAGTCCTCTGATACTATCTTTCTCTGTCTCTTATTTGGACCCTGTGTTTTCCGATTACTCTCTCACTTCCTACAAAATCATAAACAAGCAATAACCAATCAGTTAATACAATAAAGGCTCCTTCTAACAGCCCCACAATATTACCCCTTGCCCCGAGATCTCCCAACAGTCTAAATTCTTTCCCATTTTTAGGTCTCTGTACTACCCCCAATCCTGCTCAAAGAAGCCCTAAAAAACATGGCCCCATCCCCCCTCTATGCTGGCCTTCCAAATACCCCACTGCTCCCCACTCTTCATTTCTTTTTCCTTTGCATTACCAATATAAAAAGACAGGAATGTAAGGTCTGACCGCACCATGACCGGTGTGGTCATCTATGTGACCTGCACGTTCACCCCAGATGAGTTCCTGGAAGGAACAATCAACCCCAGCAGTGCCGCACTAACCTGAGACATTCTTCTTCTATTGGTTCTTATTCCAGCCTCAATTGACAAGGCCGTTGGACTTTGTAACCAAGCTTGGCCAACCTCGTGACTCCACACCCTACGACCCCCTCCCAGCTTGGCCAACCTGGTGACTCCACACCCTACGACCCCCTCCCAGCTTGGCCAACCTCCTGACTCCACACCCTACAACCCCCTCCCAGCTTGGCCAACCTCCTGACTCCACACCCTACAACCCCCTCCCAGCTTGGCCAACCTCGTGACTCCACACCCTACGACCCCCTCCCAGCTTGGCCAACCTCGTGACTCCACACCCTACGACCCCCTCAAAGCTTGGCCAATCTCGTGACTCCACACCCTACGACCCCCTCCCAGCTTGGCCAACCTCATGACTCCACACCCTATGACCCCCTCCCAGCTTGGCCAATCTTGTGACTCCACACCCTACGACCCCCTCCCAGCTTGGCCAACCTCATGACTCCACACCCTACGACCCCCTCCCAGCTTGGCCAATCTTGTGACTCCACACCCTACGACCCCCTCCCAGCTTGGCCAACCTCGTGACTCCACACCCTACGACCCCCTCCCAGCTTGGCCAACCTCCTGACTCCACACCCTACGACCCCCTCCCAGCTTGGCCAATCTTGTGACTCCACACCCTACGACCCCCTCCCAGCTTGGCCAATCTTGTGACTCCACACCCTACGACCCCCTCCCAGCTTGGCCAACCTCGTGACTCCACACCCTACGACCCCCTCCCAGCTTGGCCAACCTCGTAACTCCACACCCTACGACCCCCTCCCAGCTTGCAAACCACCCCCAGCTTCCACAGACCAGCAACTGTAACTTCTGCAACTTTCCACTGCCCACCCCAAACCTATAAAACCAACTCCTATCCCGTTGTCCACTGCTGACACCCTTTTCAGCCTCAGTCCGCTTACACCTCAGTGAATAAACAGCCATGTTGCTCCCACAAAGCCTGTTTGGGGGTCTCTTCATTTAGAACACTCATTTTAACGTTGGGGAAGACAGAGGATGCACTTGTTAGAGTCCAGAATCTGGGAGAAAAAAAGCAACTTTCAGAGACTGGAAACTTAACCTAGTCTGGCAAGTTGAAGAAGGATCAAAAGTCCTACCTTTCAGTTAAGAAAGTTTTCATTACAGCATAACAGCAACATCTGGGTAAAAAATCTTGGCATTTTTATAAGTAGTAAAATCCAGTGAGTCAGCTGAAGAGGCTGCCATGAGACTGATGTGATCTTCACCAGCATTAATCAGAACATGGCCCCAGCACAGGTAACGCTGCTGGACTTCATGCCATATCTGGCTCAGAGCAGTGTGTGTGTGCGTGTGTGTGTGTGTGTGTGTGTGTGTTTGATTTTTTTAAACTGGCATCTGTTCCCAGCATGCAAACACTGTTAATTTCACATCTGGATTCCCAGCTCCTCTTGAAACACCCTGTGGTCAGGTTGCCTTGGGCCCGTGTTCTGCCTGTCACCATCATCTGGAGTGGACCAGTTGTCTACAGAGGCTCTCCGCTCAGCTCTCTGCAGTCTCCACCACTCCCCTCGTCTCCCACATGGAGGAGAGGGGCACTTGTCATTTCTTGTCACATTTGTCCCACTGGCTTTCTGACAGTAGATTTTGGAGTGATGTGAGATATTTCTGTTACACTGGTCTCCATCAAAAATGAGCAACAAATGATAGCCCTCACTCTGTCAGTCCAACAGTGAATTCTTTCTAGGTCATAAGCAGAACAATGGGAAGTCAGATTGTTTTCCCCTGAAGAGTGTCTGTGGGCTGAGGATTTCGATATCAAATCATGGGAGAAGTGACTGAAGTTCAGCCTGGTGCTAAGAGAAGAGGCCCAGGGGTAAGGCACAGAGGGAGACGTGGGAGCTCTTTTTAAGTCTTTCAAGGACCATCATGTAGAAGATGGAGTAGGTTTGTGCTTTTTATATTCCAATAGGGGAAGTTAAAAAGGAACCATTTTCGGCTGGGTGCGGTGGTTTACGCCTGTAATCCCAGCACTTTGGGAGGCCGAGGCGGGCGGATCATGAGGTCAAGAGATCAAGACCATCCTGATCATGGTGAAACCCCGTCTCTACTAAAAATACAAAAATTAGCCGGGCGTTTGCCACGCGCCTGTTGTCCCAGCTACTCGGGAGGCTGAGGCCGAAGAATCGCTTGAACCCAGGAGGTGGAGGTTGCGGTGAGCCGAGATTGTGCCAGTACGCACCAGCCTGGCAACAGAGTAAGACTCTGTCTCAAAAAAAAAAAAAAAAAAAAAAGGAACCATTTTCAGCTTACTTAAAAGAAAAAGAATGCAGAGCCACTGACTTCTTTGGTTAAGGTTTCAGACAGATAATGTTGGTCCAAATCCTGGTTCTAGCTTCTATGTATTTGATCTTGGGAAAATTCCTTAAATTTCTCCAAGCCCAGTTTCCTTATATGTACAACAGGAATTGACAATGCTAAGGCACAGAGCTACACTTTCTAGAGATCTGTTCTAATGACAGTGCACGCATAGAACTGACACTCATCCAAGAAATCCTTGAGAATCTTTTGGAGAACACCTAGGCTTTTAGAGGTTCCAGGGCCAATTGGGTTTTGCCTTTGCTTTAATTTCTTCTTGTATTTGACCCATGTGCAGTACGTGGTCCTCACCATACACTGGTTTGACAGGCAGTGTTGAGTGGAGTCATAGATAAGAAGGATTCAGAAGACAATGAAGAGAAGTTAAATTTCTCCCTCTCTATTTTATACTTCTCTCCTTCATATATTCTAATAACAAACTGTTGTCAGGTGGAAATCTACAGATAGTCTGAGCACTGATAAATGAATTATCATTAGTTTAAATGTTTTATGATACAATGTCAGTGAAATTTGGGAAAGAAAGAAAGAGTAAAGGATCACACAGTGCTTGACCTCCACTACATCAGTAAATCTTACATATGCATTTATGTTACATCCATAGCCATATCTACCTCTCTGTCTTCTAAACCCCACTTGACTGAAGGACCCACGGAGTCTGGGCTATGCCCGTTTACTAATCACGTGCCCCCTGTGTTTGCACAGTGCCTGGTGTATACATGGTACTCAACCAGCACATTTCGAACTTAGAAATGAATGAATCCAGAGGCAAAATAAACCCCAAGAGTGGATGTTCAGTCTTTGTTGGATGATCCCTAGTGGATTTAACGTCACGGAAAATCTTCAAAAAGAGGCAGAAGGGGCTTATGTGTCAAACAGATTTGGCAATGGCTGTAGACGTAGACCTGAGTTCTAAGATGCTATGAACCAAGTCTCCTCTTGATCACATTGAATCTTGATATACTGATTGAACATATACAATGTGGAAGGAAGTGTACAAAATGTTGTGGAAGTCACAAAAAGATGGAATGGACATGGCTCTGCCATTGGGAGCTTACACTCTAGCTAATGAATATTGATAGCTAACACTATGTATCAGCTACTACAAGGGTTGATTCATTGAATTCTCATAACAATCCTTTGAGATAGAAAATACTACCTTTCACAGTCCGTAGATAAGGAGATGGAGGTGTAGAGAGGGTTAACTAATTCAGCTAAGGCCACTCAACTAGTGAGTGTAGAAACCATATTTTCAATCTGAAAAGACTGGCACCAGACCCTGTAATCTTATCCACGGAGCATTCCTTGTTAGTCGTGCAGGACTTGCTTAGGGTAGGTTCTTATGAGCCAGTATCAGAATGTCATTCCTATAGTCCCCGTCAGAGGAATCAGTTGGTAGTGGACATTTTCCAAAGCATTTGTAAATTACTTTGTTAAAAAAAGAGCAGGAAGACATTTTTCCTAGATTTCTCAAGTTTCTTTACATCTTCACAGAGAGGACAGATAATGTGGTTTTAGAGTAAGATTCTGTTGTAATCTTTGAGGACCTATCTTTCTAATTTGTGGGCTCATGTTTTTATTGGATTAGTAATTGTATTTTTGTCAATGAATTATGGCTCCCAGAACCCCAGAAGTTGGTCACGCATCACCAGCAGGAGATGAGCATCTTTACTTTTGTAGAGAAATAAAATGTAGAATCATGTGGATCTCAAAGATGGCGTGCCCTCCTTCTTACCCCTGCAATAGTTCAGTTTCTTGGCTTCCAGTATCAGCCGGACTAGCAATGAGGAGATGCCAGAGGGCTAGTAAAAGGACATTCACGTGCAAAAGCCTTCCTGTCCCCAGGCACACATCTTGTTTTCAAACTTAGCCTTCCAGTGGTTAAGGCAGAATATCTTCCAATGGATGAGCTCTCCTGCTGCTTGTCTGGCAACGTCTGGAAAACTGGTTACTAAATAGAACCCAATGTCACCTCTGGTGATGATCAGCAGTTTCCACAGAGCAGCTGCATTTCTCTAGCTAATTTTCGGCAGCTACAAAAGGGCTCTGTGATGAGGTTTCCT